TAATGGAGATGCTACTGAGATCTGCAGAATGCTGTGAAGAAGAAGCAAAGGTGAGATCACCAAAGAAAGCCTTTATGGATGATGTGACCCTACTGACAAGAGATGAAGACACAATGCAAAGTGTGTTGAATCGGCTCGATAAGCCAGGATGAAGTTTAAAGCAAAAAAATCTAGAAGCCTGACTATTCACAAAGGAAAACAGAAGCAACTGAAGTTCACAAATGCAGGGGAGCAAATGTCCACAGTAAAAGAACAACCCGTGAAAAGTTTGGGTCGGTGGTACTCAGGAACTCTGTCTGATAGGAGTCAATTCGTGGAAATCATGAAGCAGGCTGAAAATGGGCTGAAAGCAATTGACCAGACAAAGCTTCCAGGAAAGCATAAGATATGGTGTCTACAGTTTGCCATCTACCCTCGATTGGCGTGGCCAATGACAATGTATGAAGTTGCTCTGTCAAGAGTTGAGATGATCGAAAGAAAATGTAACAGCTACATCAGGAAGTGGCTGGGGCTACCCCGTACCATTAACACGTTATCCCTGTACAGACATAGAGGTGAGCTTCAACTACCATTCACGTCAATCGTGGAGATCTACAAAACAGGCAAGATTAGAACCGTTTTGATGTTGAGAGAATCAAAGGATAAGGAGATCAATGGAAAACCTCCAGATGCTAAAACAGCCAGAAAGCGGAAGGCAGAAGTTGCAGCTGACGAGATCATCTCTGCATTGGAGCATGGCGACATTGTCGGTCCAGCACAACCTGACAGATTAGGGCTAGGTAATGGCGACTTTAGACCTTTCAGGAAAATGTCTCAGCGAGACAGAAGAAAAGCTGCAACAAGACATATGCAAAAGATGGAGGCAGAGAGGCGAGAAATTCATCACATCCAGTGTAGCCATCAAGGACAAATGGCCAGATGGGAAGAGCATGTAGTGGAAAGAAAAGTCGGGTGGAGTGACATCTGGAAGTGGAATACATCAAGGCTAAGCTTTCTTCTCCGGTCTACGTATGATGTTCTGCCTTCACCGGTGAACCTTATCAGATGGAAGGTACAGGAGGACAACAAGTGTAGATACGGTAAGCTAGGAACCATGAAGCATATTTTGTCAAACTGCAACCTGGCTCTTAACAGATACACCTGGAGGCACAATGAGGTGCTGAAAGTGCTCACGACAATGGCGACAAAACAGGTGGAAGAAGGAAAATATGCCCCCAAGATACAGAAGCATGGACCCACCAAGATTGCGTTCGTTCCGCAAGGAAGCGAACGAAGCCATGGAAGACCAGAGCGGAGGCACATGGGAGGTAGCCGCTGACTTAAAGGGCTTTGAGAGATTCTTCCCCATTCCAACTACGAAAAAGCCAGACATTGAGTTATGGGAGGAAAAAGGCAAAGAGGTGCACTTGGTAGAGCTCACGGTGCCCCACGAGGGCAATATCTATGCCGCTCATGAGCGGAAAGAAAACCGTTACAAGACACTCGTCGAACAATGTGAGGAGGCAGGATGGAAGGCAACCCATTTTCCGGTAGAGGTAGGATGCAGAGGTTTTATAGCAACAAGCACCCGTAAGTGGATGAGAGTGGCAGAACTTACTGCAAAGAAAGGCAACGAACTCACAAACTCCCTTCAGGAGACAGCAGAGAAAGCCAGTCACTGGATCTGGTTGAAGCGAGAGGACCCAGGCTGGAATGAATCCTAAAGTTGGCAGCAGAGGAAAACAGTCGAACTAACATGGAGACCTCACATTGGTGAGGGGGCTCGGTGCGTCAGAAAAGCTGTAGAGAGGAAGAGCCCGAAACAGCGACGCACTCTCTCCTGATGATCTCCATGCTAGAGTCCGGGATACGGAGAGTTCGGCTGTGAGCAGTGCATACGCTGTTTAGACTACGTACGTGAGCGCGCGAATCAAGCTGGTTGTATTCACAACAGTTCTCTGTACGGTTTGAGTTTAGTCAAAATTTCTATTAAAATGTTAAAATGTAAAAAAATTAGTGGTAAAAACTTCTTAGTTAAAAATAACTTTTAAAATAACATTTCAAATGTTAATATCGTTTTTCATAATTTACCATAAAATTGAGGATTCTGTTGGGATCAACGATGGAAAACAGATCTTGCAATTATTTTTTTTTGCATTTAGAATATTTCCTTCGGGGCTCTCCGAAGTCTGGACATTCTGTTAAAATATGTCTAATGGTAAATTCTATGTCGAATTCGACTCAAAAGTTTTTTAAAAATCTCCCTGAAGGAGGTACTTATGTGTCAGGGAGGTGTGTCCGATACATAGATCTAATTGAGTAAAAATGACTTCGTCTTTTCTGGAGGGGCCTGAAGGTTTGGTGGATCCAGTTTGATATGATGTTGTGGAGTTTGTTGTTGGTTTGTTTTCCCCAATGCATCTCCCACAGACTGGAAGTGAAGTGTTTTTACTTAATTTTTGAAGTCAGCCTGTGGGAGAGTGTTCGTCGTTTTCGCAATACACGGGACAAGGATTCCTTCGCTAGGAGATCCACCTGCTCGTTTTCTCGGATGCCCACATGGCTAGGAAGCCATGCGAATCAAAAGGTTCGATATCACAAACTTTTAACGTTTTCTAAGTGGGCTGTTGGTTGGCGTTTAAATAATCTTTAGACTGATGGCCAGATAGACCATATTTTGAACAGATAGGCTTCTGATTGTTCTTGGTGATAGCTCCACACTGCCTACTGTTATTATACCCGTCAAAACCTGGTCTCCACCTATCAGTGTCTCGAAATATCTTTGTTTGCGATAATCCCAATCTCTATACACATTGGCATCATTGTCTTTTCCAAGAAAGTGGCAGACAGTCGGACTAGTAATGGTGAGAATACAAGCTCAGAATATCGAGGCGCAGCTCGAGAGAAGGGTGGAGGATATCATAATTTATTTCATATACCACAAAAACTGAACTCGTGTAACTGCTGTGGCAGCCATTAGTGGTGGTCTATTCAATTTTTTTTTCAGTAGCCTCAGCTTCCCGATGATGAAAAACTGGGAATTGTATGAATCGAGTCTCACCTCATTTATTTTTTTACTGATGTGATTAGCTCCGGGGAGTCCATTATTACTTTCGGGGGGTTCTGACCCCCTAGACAATAATAGTATTTTCAGGCAAGTACAGATGTACTTCCGCCGAGCCTAACATCTAGCTAGTTACCGGGTAACCTGGCCGGCTTCGAACAGCTTCAGGATTCAGGATAACCTCTAACACGACGAGGCACCAACATCTCTCTCTCTCTCTCTCTCTCTCTCTCTCTCTCTCTCTCTCTCTCTCTCTCTCTCTCTCGTTCTCTCACTCTCTTTCTCTCTCTCTCTCTCTCTCTCTCTCTCTCGCTCTCTCACTCGCTCTCTCTCTCATTCTCTCTCTCTCTCTTTCTCTCTCTCTCTCTTTCTCCCTCTCTTTCTCTCTCTCTCTCTCTCTCGCTCTCTCTCTCACTCTCTCTCTCTCTCACTCTCTCTCTCTGTCTCTGTCTCTGTCTCTCTTTCTCTTTCTCTCTCTCCATCTCCCCAACCCAAGTCATTTGGACCGTGATTCTGTTCAACCAAAGAATACCTCTGATCTCAAAAGATTCAGCTTTACAAACCTTTCACGTTTTTTGAGTGTGGTGTTTGTTGGCACCCAGACGTTTATGCTGTTTCTGAAGTTACTGGTCACAGCCCAAACCATGGACAGTGGCATCAGAAGGGACTGTACCAACATAAAGAGGGCAGAGACTGCCATAGAGGGTATGGCTTAGAAAAAACAGGAAAGGAACCATCTTTTAGAGGAGGGAAAACTGTACTGGCAGACCTCTCCACTGCCCAGGAAGACGGTCTGATTAGGAATAAAAAAGTCCTTCTGCAATTTATGGCTGTGCTTTCCTATCTTGGCAAAGTGGAGTCCCATAATTTTGACAAATGTCTCTTAATTTTTTCTATACAGTTGATACTACCCCTAAATTGACCTCTCTGTTGCATCACTACCTACCGTATGTTTTGAGTCTTTTTTTCTTAGAATTAGATGTGAAAGAATAGGGAACATTTACAACTGACTAATTGTCTTTATACAATTTAAATCATGCTCCTACCTGTTTCAGTTAGAAAGTTCTGACAAAATCTGTACGTTTTCTCAAGTTTTCTCAACACGACAAAAGTTAAGGAGTATGGGTTGCGGCCCGGACTCTCACTTAAAGCTCAAAAGGAGGATTAAAAAAAATATTTGGCATTACTGTGTAAAAATGAATTTTCTGTAATCCTAGTGAGGCTTTTAAAATATCTCCCACCAATTTTGAAAAATGCTGTTTCGAGTGCTTCAGTTGCTGCGAAAATGCTTAACTTAACAGTGTCAAGCAATAGCTATTACGTTATCTCCAATATCTCTTCAGAGGTTTCAAGTATAAAACAGAACCTCTAGGATTTCAGATTTTATTGTATATATGCTCATGTGAAAATATGAGCACTTTGGTCAATAAACTGATTGAGCTCGGGCCGAATTCAATTAATATTGCTTGTGTACAACCAAAACATGGAACATTTTTAAATTCCTTGAACAAAGATTACATTTTACTAGCTGACTTTCATTTTAAACTCTTAGAGTGTTTAATGGTCACACTGAATGGTGCTGGAATGTGTTAATAACAAAGAGAGAAATATTACCTGCTACCTACCCTTAAATATTCTTTTAAAGACTGACGGCCAGATAGACCACACTTTGAACAGATAGGCTTCTGGTTGTTCTTGGTGATAGCTCCACACTGCCTACTGTTATTATACCCGTCAAAACCTGGTCATCACATATCAGTGTCAGGAAATGTCTTCGTTTGCGAAAATCCCAATCTCTATACACATTGTTATCATTGTCTTTTCAAAGAAAGAGGTAGACAGTTAGCCGGATTCGTAATGGTGAGAATACAGGCTCAGAGGATCAAGGCTTGGCTCGAGAGAAAAGCGGAGGAGATGGTAGGAAAGAAAATTCGTAAAAATTAATGAAACAAAACAATTTATAAACGATGGTGTTTATTCATTCGGAGTTGCAGTTGCGCAAAGCGCAGGTTTCACGTTCAAATTGAGCAGAACTGGTCTCAGATTATTATGAATGATATTGATCTATAAAAGGTACCCCAATTAGGAGGCATAATATTATCTTGAATGTTATACGTTTCCTTGAGGTCAGAAGTGAAAATTAAATCCTCTTAGCCACTACTAATGGAACATTCTAGAAGAGGAAATGTGAAGATATCGTTACGCAATATATGCCTGTCTTTAGTAATGTTTGAAAAAACCCCACCGGGAGAACATTCGAATGAATTAATCAAGGATGGGCCTTCCTCTTAATCGTTCTCCCCAAAAGTTATCACAGAAAAACAATCTCCACCACAACTTTATATGGTGTAGAGGTAGCTTCACAAACGAGTAAGAATAACTTAAAAATAATACAAAAGTTTCATCCACAGGCTTCACAATCTCATGTCAGTTAGTTAGAGATTCCGCGGACGCGTGTGTCCTCGCCAATCCTTGTGAAGAATTCTCTCATTGTGAGGAATCCCCATGCACATTTCGTCGACTTTTCACAAGTCAATAAATTAGTCCACGGCCACGTCTGGGCGCTTGTGAAAAGTTTAAATACACCGAATTGGATCCAAGGAGCGCATGAGTTATCTCCATTAAAAGAATCATTTTATCAAGCGTTACAATAAATATCATGTTAAAAATACAACTGGCTTGTTTGACATTGTGGTAGGTTTGCCAAAAATAGACATACTCTCATTAGGCTATTGCCAGCATCTATGGTGCAGTGGTTAGACGCCTTGCCCTTGCACACAGAAGACACGAGTGGGAGCCCCGAGTCGGGACAATCTTCATCTCGGTCTTTCTCCTGTTGTGCCTTCACAACTCGGGCTGCTCCTGACAGGCAAAGAAGCCTGCCTCGTGAATGATCTAAATTGTATCGATGGGTGATTTGGGGGCTTGGAAGGGGGGGGGGGTTAAACCACCTATATTAAAACAAATTCTCTCCATAAATGATTTCTGCTCTGAAGCCCAGTTAGTTCACTTAGTAATCCTGTGTTTTGTATTGGCATTGTCTAAGGTCAACACGAGAACAACAGCTCACGAATAGCTCGTTCATCAACAACATAATACACGACAATGTCGGTGGCGTGGGTAGGGTAGAAAACTAGCCACGACTCCGAGGTTCGAGGATCCAACCTGAGTGGAGCTGAAATGTCCTCCATCTTTTCATAATTTCATTTCTTGTCTGCCCGGGTGGATTTGATGAATCGATCACTGGTCTCAACTGTTGTCATCCGAATCATCCAAGAGGGAGTCCTTCTCGGAGAACTTGTCGTCGACATCCGTTGTTATATCTTCGCTCTTGTCTTTGGCAGATTTGTTGGGAGGACGTTCCATGTCCCAGTCTTGTCTCTCCCCTGACGCCATGAACAGGTAGGCAGTACTGCAAGCGAACGACAATGCTCCCGTAACGATGGCCACGATTCTCCAACTTGAAAACGACCGATCTTCTAATATCAAGGACGCTAGGAGTGTACTCCCTGCTCCCCCGGATGACCCAGTCAGCGACAAACCAGCCACGATGTTGGCGTACTGAGAAGACAAGTCTACGCGATTCACTTTATACCCGTTAAAAGAAAGACCCCCGAAAGCGTAAGCCGAGAGAAAGAAAGCATAACTATATCTCCAGTCCGGGGAAAATGCTACTGCAATCATGAAAAAACCCTCGAGGTACCCGCCTAGTGCTTGTAGCAATTTCCGGGTGCCAGTGGCAGACAATATATTGCCATACATCAGTTTATCAGCGAGGGTGGCGCCTAGCATGACGAACACGCTGTTCAACAGTGGTTGAGCTGACAGGAATAAGCCGATGTCGGCGGCACGAAGCCCGTATACATCGTTAAAGAACTGCGGCTGGAGCGTGGTCAGTACTGAGTTGACCCAGCATTTGTTGAAAGTGCCCAGCCAAATGGCCCAGACGGACTTGGAGAGGAGGATTCGTTTCCAGGGGATGTGACGAGCGACCTCATGAGATCCGCTCTGGACTTTGATCTGGTCAGGGTCATAGTGACATAGCTCACGCTCTTCCAAGTGTGGACACTCGCTGGGCAGGCTGCAACAAGAAAAATGAACGTTACACATTGGGGGCATCTCGACAGAAAAATCATAGCATCATACCCAGTGCACACTGCCAATCGAATTGAGCCAGGTTTTCCTTCGTGATAGAGCAAAAGCTAGCATTTTGGCAAAATATTACAGACTTGACACTCGACTTTGAAAAACAAAAGCTTTTAGATTTTTGAAATTCGCAGTCGAATTACGTTGAGTTCAGTCGTAGTGTGCCAAAACGATAGCATTTGTCCCATATATGACATGAAAGGAAATGTGGCTGGCCCCTACTCAATCCGACTGGCTGTGTGCACTGGGTGTTAAAAGCTAGCATAATATACTCATACAGTTCAATCAGTGCTAAATTTTTCAGATTTCTCTTTTTTCAAGACTGTCCTGGACTTCACGAGAGGCCGGCTGTACTCTCTCCAAGCCACACGGCGCGAATTGTTATATAATGGCATAAAGGAGCTTAGCTCTAGCATTTCAGAAAACAATGTCATACTGTTATAAAGAATGCTATGATGCTAATCGTAAAAGTACAAAGCATTACATTAGTTTCATATTTGGAACTCAGATGAAGCACTACATAACTATCTCGCTTTGAAAAAGAAATATAAAAACCTCTGTAAACATAAGTAGTCAAAGTATACACAATGGCAAACTTAGAAGCATACTCAAAGTTGTTTGAAGCGGGTTCCATGATTTTTTGGAAGCAATTAATATCCGTTTGTGTGGAAACACTACCAACGGATGTTACCAAACCCAAACAATTGCATGCCTATTTTAAGAAATTGCGAAACCCTTTGTCAAGGTCTGATAGTAAAACCCATGATATTGACGAGTCAGCCAGCACGAGCACTTAATTTCTTTCCTTACAGTTTCGTATTTCCCCTAGTTATAAGCCATGTAATTTCTTATATTCACCAATTTCCAGAGATGAAATTGCGTTGTCAATAATTAATTTAAAATCAGGTAAGGCTTGTGAACTTATTGGCTAATCGCCAGATTTTCATTAATTCGGGTGCGAGGATCTGGTTGACTTTCTCCTTCTGTTTGTAATTCAGTTTTCTTTAAAGGCAGTTATTTAGAAGAGTAGACCAAGTCCATGATATTAAGTTTGTATAAAGATAATAAACGTGAAGGATATATTTAATTTTTAATCATAGGGGCATAAGCTTACTGAATGTTGTCTGAGAATTATTCAGTTTGATTGTGCACAAAAGACTGTTACAATGTTGTGATTAAATGAACATGATCCCTGTATCCCAAGCCAGTTTTAGATGAAATCATTCTACAATAGATAATATATTCTCATTCCTGCCTTTAGTTAAAAAACATATCTCTAAGCCGGCAGAAAGATTTTCTGTATGTTTTATCAACTTTTAAAAAAGCATTTGATTGGGTTGACAGAGAAAAGCTCTGGACAGAATTTAAAAGTCTTGGCTGTTCTGGACCTATGTAAACTGCTTTAAGAATATGTATCAAAGTATACTTTCATGTGTTGAAGTCTGCTCAGAAGGACGAGTGTCGTTAAAATTACTGAATACTTCCAATTTACGCCACATGAAATAACAAGGCTGCATACTTAGCCCTGTATTGTTTTCTTTGTCCATTTCTCAACCCAAAAAATACCATAGTGTTACGTGATTTCTGTTAGATATGGGGTTTAAAAGTGGATCCAGAAAAAAAGTAAGATAATGTGTGTTCTTAGGAATAGAGGCTATCTCAAAAGTTCTGATAGATGATATTGAACGGGTAAAATCTTGGAGACAGTAACGTATTATATTTCTTTGGGCATTTCTTTTCATCTGTAGACGAACGCCTGCAGATTGAGCCTGGTAAGCTCAGCGGATTGTTTCTCGAACAAGAAGTCTTTTCAATTCATGACAAGAAAAATATTAAACATTTTTTATACAGAGATTAATCCAGTGCTGCTTTATGGTTCTGAAATTTCGGGGCATAATTGACAAGGTTTAGGTAAAATTCTGGAAAGCCTGTCTGAGTCATAGCACAGCTTCACCCAAGTGCTTAGTTCTGAGAGAAGTGGGAAGAACTTATTATGTATATGCACCGCGTCATTAAATTCTGGAGCAGATGTGTAAAATCCCCGAACAGCAGCAAGAGACACGCACTGGCAGTATCAATAAAACACTCAAAGTTTCTCTGTGTGGCGTGCAGTATCTCTAACCTGTATATCGTCAAGCACCAGAAGGCTGCCCATGTGAGTCCAGCAGCTCCAAACAGATAGAAAGCAAAGTCCCAGGAGACGAAGCAGATCGTGATTCCAGACACAGCGTTTCCCAGCGACGGACCAAGAACACTGCCCAGTAGAGCTGATTAGATTGGAAAAGGTGCTATTAGATAAGGTTCCATAATGCAAAAAAAATAAATGGCTAACAAATGAGCAAGCAAACAACCCCTACCCCCAAATTAAATTTAAAAAACAAACAACTTAACTGTCAACACGTTTGAAGGAGGATTTCTCAGCAACTGCATGTTTGATTTCAACCAAATTTTGACTAACGCTTAATAGCACCATGGTCGTAACAGAAATGCATCTTAGGTGCCTAATTCGTGTCTCTTTAATAACTAATTTCTCGTTTCTCATCCGTACAGCACATTTAGCTATAACCTGTAACCTATAACCCAAACATGACACGAAGAAGCAAATTAGTATAGCTGCACATGATCATAAGAATAATATGTGAGAAATAAATTATCTCCGAGGCCTATACGAACATCTGATAAAACATGACCAACCCTATTTTTTCTACTTTGAAACATAAGATTAGATAAGATAAGATAAGATACATCTTTATTGTCCAGATCCTGGCACATTGGTTTGGTGTTCCACCACGAGTACACACACACACACACACACACACACACACACACACACACACACACACACACGTACACACGTGCACACACATGCACACACAAGTAGGCTTACAATCACATGCATAATATAAATGAGCAGCAATATAAACAAGAGTGAACACACCCGGTCGCCGCAGAGTAGCGCCCTGTATTTCCAACCAAATAATAATATGTGAGAAAATTATCATAATGATATAATAGTGAGTAGCGGGTGACCTGAACTTTAACTTTTCACCCATGTGACCACATCGTGTTGTGGTGTCGGGTGAAGAGTAGAGGTGGGCAAAATCCGGATAATCTATCCGGATAACCGGATAATTATCAATGAAACATTGTCCGAATTCAGACTGTTAACTCCCTTTCCTGACCCGCTTGCCGAAGTGGGTGCACCCATTTGTTGAAGTGGTTCTAACCTATTTGCCGAAGCGGTTCATATCCTATTATTTACCGAAGAAGTGCACTAACATAATATTATCCGGATTTTGCTAAAGCGACTCATTGCCCAGCACTAGGAGAGACCGCTCAGACGAAAGGGCTGTGCAGCTGAGCAATATAAAGGTATCTTAAGCTATTAGTTGTTGCAGCTAAATTGTTCAACTATTTAATGAGGCAAAAGAGCTTGGCAACGGTCTGCAAAACTTGTGGGTGGAAAAGCCTCACGTGTTGAGATTGTTGTGCTGGACAAAGATTAAACTTCTGACGTGTATTGCAGTGAAGTGTTTAAACATTTACGAATGGTCTTTAGTGAGATGTTTGATTAAATAGGAAAAGGTACTACGGCCGAAAAATAGGAAATTTAGACATTAGTCATGATTAAACCTTAATTGGTCCCATGTCCTGGTGTACATGTAGTGATCACTTAGATGTGTTAACACACAACATGTAGTTGATTATCATACTCCACGAAAAAACAAAACAGGAAGGTGGAACATTATCTATAATTAAATGATGATGATGATGATGCTGACGACGACGACGACGACGATGATGATGATGATGATGATGATGATGATGATGATGATGATGATGATGATGATGATGATGATGATGATGATATCAATGAATGATCGACCATTCTGT